TCCAGGATAAATCTGTTTGATCTCCCAGCAGTCAATGGTAGTCCATCAACATATTGCCTGCAAAAGATACATCTAAAAAATGAAGAGAAAGACAGATTCAGGAGCAAAGGTTGAGGAGGTAGGAATAGATCAAATAAATGGCAAGCACAAAATAGCAGGAGTTGCAATTATAATTTCTGATAAATAGACTTAAAAATGAGAATCATCATAAAAGATAAGGAAGGGTATTACATACTGATTAAAGATTCAATAGATCAAGACGATATAACTTTGGTCAGCACTAACACACCCAATGAAATACCTGCCAAATACATAAAACAATGGTTAACAGAATTGAAGAAAGAAATAGACAGCACAACAACAGTGGTAGGAAACTTCAACACACCACTCACACCAAAGGATAGGTCAACTCAAAAGAAACTCAGCAAAGATACAAAAGATTTAAACTACATAATCAGTCAACTCAGCCTTGTGGATGTGTACTACACAGAGGACTGCACCCAACTCAAACTCAATTCATTTTCTTCTCAAGTGTACATGGTACATTCTCAAGAGTCAATCACATTTTAGGACACAAACCAACAGCAAGTTAAAATCACTGAAATAATACAAAGTATCTTCTCAGATCACAATGCCATAAAACTAGAAATTAACCACAGGAGAGTAGGCTTACAAAACCACCCATGTAAAAGCTAGATAAATCTCTGCTAGAACATTATTATAAAAGAAATAAAGAATTAAATAAAAATGTTTCCAGAAATGTTCTATATTATGATTTAAGTATTACCAGAATATATTATCAAATTATGTTGTTGTTGTTGTTGTTGTTGTTGTTGTTGTTGTTATTATGTGCCGTCTAGTCGCTTGGGACTCATAGCGACCCATGTACAACAGCCCTAAACTCTGCTCTGTCCTGTGCCAACTGCATTGTCTCTGACACTTCCATCCCAATTACCCCAGTCACTCAATCAATCCACCTCATAGAGGGTCTTCCCCTCCTGCACTGTCCCTCTACCCTCCCAAGCATGATGTACCTCTCCAAGGACCAGTCTCTCCTTACAATATGTCCAAAGTATGGTAGACAAAGCCTCAGAATCCTCACCTCCAAGGAGCCGCCCATTTAACCCTCTCCAGGATGAATCTGTTTGTTTTCCTAGCAGTCCATCATGGTACCCTCAATACTCTTCTCCAGCACCACAGCTCAAAGGCATCATCAATTCTCCTTCTATCCTCCTTAGTCATTGTCCAACTCTCTGATGCATAACAAGTGATAGCAAAGACCATGGCCTGTATCAGATTCACCTTAGTCTCCAGAGAGACACCATTGCTCTTCAGTACTTTGGAGAGGTCCCTAAGAGCAGACTTTCCCATCGCAATATGTCTTTTAATTTCCTGGCTACTGGTGCCAAAAGTGTTGACTGTGGAGCCGAGCAAACTGAAGCTGTGAACAATATCAAACTATAAACTAAGAAAATATGAAACATTGGTGGACTCTTGACTTCATTATGTTTTCTTGTCATTGAAAAATAATAGGTAAAAATTTAGTGCTGAAAGTATTTCCTCTAGCACACAAAAGATTTTTCTTCCATAAGAAAAGAGATAAATAATAATGAAAATCCACTGTAATTGGATTTTTTGTTATTTGTTTTGTGAGTATTGCTGTGTAAATCAGATTAAATTCTGTTGGACACTTAGCTATATGGATGTATTATAGAGGTCAAAGAATTTTGGCTTTACTTATATCATGATAGTTTAACAGCCTACCTTGTAATGCCAATTTTTAAGTTCTTTCTTTTTTACCTTCCATGTTACCCTTGCTCAACTTTGAAATTAGTGTGTAGATTCATTAATTTGTGGTTCCATTTTCCCAAGAAGAATTCTAGTTGTCTTATATTTTAAAGATATTTTTCTAATAAAACCACCCAGATTTATTTACATTTATAACTAAATTAAACCGATAACTTTTTATAATATACATAATAATTTTCAATGTATTTGAAAACAAGTTTTTATTGAGTAAATACATTTTTGAGGTACAATTGGTGAGATTTTACCGGTTTATTTTTCAGATGGTAGAACACTGATAGAACACTGATTTATTTAACAGAGGTTTTAAATTTTATTATTTATTTTACTCATACTTACTAATAAATTTTCTGGGGGAATATTAAAATACACATTATGTGGGACTGGAAAAATTTGTGTTTCAGTTTCATCTTATGTGAGGGACCTTGCATTATTTTCTCATTTATGTAACAATATCATTCTTAAATAGAATAATTATTTATGTTACATTATCACCAAAACCTAATGTTGAAAGAGATATTCTTTTTATATAATAACAGTTTTGCAATGTATTGCCAATATTTATAATTTACCAATCTATTTTGAGAATTCATTCTTAATTACTCATTTCGGTTACAACCTAAAAAGCTTGGGCATTTCTGGTCCAGGTCAATGTTTTCTGTGTTAGAATTTTCTTGAAAGCTTTCTTCACATCTTTGTTTCTCAGTGTGTAGATGAGAGGATTTACCAATGGGGTGACCACACAATAGAATACTGACACCACTTTACCGATGGTGAAGTTATATTTGGCTGGAGGACGAACATAGGCAAAGATGATGGTACCATAGTAGATGGTGACAACAGTCAGGTGGGAGGCACAGGTGGAAAAGGTTTTCTTCCTGGCCTCCCTGGAAGACAGTCGGATTATTGTGAGCACAATGTGTCCATAGGAGGACATAGTGAGTAGAAAAGAACTAAGAATCACTACAGAGCTACATGTGTATCCCAAGGCCTCCACCAGGAATGTATCTGAGCATGAGAGTTTGAAAATGGGGTCTGAATCACAGAAGAAATGGTTGATCTTCTGAGGTCCACAGAAGTTGAGATAAGAGATAAGTATGGTCGGTAAGAGTGGAGCAATAAAACCTCCAATCCACGATCCAGCTGAAAATCTAAGGCAAATCTGAAGGCTCATAAGTAATGAGTAGCGAAGAGGGTTGCATATTGCCAAGTATCGATCATAGGCCATCACAGCCAGGAGGATGCACTCAGTAGCTCCCATGGAGAAGAAGAAATAGTACTGAGTTATACAACCAGTGACAGAAATGGTCACAATCTGTGCTAGACAAGTGGCTAGCAGTTTAGGCACTGTGGCTGTTGTATACCAGATCTCCAGAAAAGACAAGTTTCCTAAGAAAATGTACATGGGTGTCTGAAGTGTAGATTCCATTAGAACAATGAAAATGATAAGTGTGTTTCCAGTGAGAGAGAGTAAGTAGACAATAAGAAACATCACAAATAAAGTGAGCCGAAGTTGAGGAACCCCAGAAAAACCAAGAAAGATAAACTCTGTTACTGTAGTTTGATTTGTCACATCCATATTTCATCTTCCTTGGTTTGGAATAAATCAATAAACTGAAAACTGAAGAGTTTGAAGATGAGATGGAACAAGATTCAGCGACTGTCTTTTAATCTACCAATGATAATTAAGAAAAAGGAAATATCTCTCTCACACACATGCATACACACACACACACACAACCCAAATCACCAAAAACAATTACTGTTCTGTCAATTCCAAGTTATATCCACCCTATGCATGAGAGAGTGCGAGATTACCACTACACTCCATAGAGTTCAATTGTGATTTTTCAAAAGTAGATATTTGGAAATTTTTCTCTTGTAGTTTTGCTGTGCAGGGTCAAATGAATAATCTTTCAATAGTAGTCAAGTGCTAAAACAGTTGCACCACCAAATTATCTTAAAATTTTAATAAGCAAGTTGCTCTAGTATTGATCTTATCTCATGGAAAAGCCCATGACTACAGACTGGAGGTGTGTCAGAATTTTCTTGGCTGTAATCTATATGAAAGCACATTTCCAAACTTTTGATTTTGCAAATCTGTGGAATGATGTGAATTCTTGTTCAAAAACAAAGCATAAGCCGTTTGTGCCACTAAGGTGCTTCCCTTAAAGAAAGCAAAACCAAAACACATTGCCATCATCTTGCCAATTGAGACTCATAGGGACCTTCCATAGTGTTTTTGGGGCTTCAAATTTTAATGGTAGGAGACAGTCCATTTTTATCACACTGAGCGGATTTAAGCCAGTAGTGTTATAAAATTTATTTATTCAACATACTGCAGATCAATAGATCATGACGCTAGTTAAGAGCATACTGGATTAAGAGTTTCTCATTCAGACATGTAACTGTGTTGAAACAAAGAGGTTTGTGCAATTTGACTTTATAACTCTTCATTTATGTCATCAGTTATATTTTAGAGGAAGTTCCACGTATGAATAAATGCTATCTCCAGGAAATTCTTACTGTTGTTGTTATGTGCAATAGAGTCAGGACCAGCTCACAACTGAACCTCCAGTAGGTTTTCATTTGTTGTAAACCATACGAGATGAGATTGCTCATCAATCTTCTGCAGAGTAGATGGTGAGTGAATCCGAACTTCTGTTTGCAGTGCCACTCTTTACCACCAGAAAACTAGAAAAGAAAGATTTGCACAAAAGAGATTTTTATTTCATGTAATCTTGTAACTGCATTAACCTTTACCTGGAGCTTTAGTGATATTATGTGTAGCTTTGCACCACTTAACCCAAAAGGCTTCTCATCTAGGACAGGTATTAGACATCAGGAACTCTACACCCTGGGAGAAAGATAAGCAGTCTCCTGCTATTAAGATGTACAGCCTCAGATGAGAATCAACTCCACTAGTAGTCAATGGGTTGGGAATCTTCCCCATGTTTGTTTTTAAAACGTCTATCCCATGTTGTTAGGTGCTCTTGAGTCAGAACTGACTCATAACTGACCCTATAGTGGTTTCCAAAGGCTGTTAATTGCACGGGAGATATCCCATCTTTTTCCTATGGAGCAGCTGGTGAATTTATACTATGTGCCTTTTGGTTGGCAGCACAACTCATTACACAATCGGCCACGAGATCTTGCCCATCTCGAAGCAATTACAAATCAAACCATACCAAAATCCAGTTCCTTGAAGGACAGTGTAAATCATAGCCCGCATGGTTTCCTAAACTGTGGAGGACATTGCCCATCTTTCTCCTGTGGAGTAAATATTGAATTTGAACCTCCAACTGCCTTACTTGTGGGTTAACAGTCCAAAGGGCAACACACTACATCTTTAGAGGCTCTTGTAGATAGATTAATTAAGAAAAAAAAATTAAAAGTCAGAAATTCTAGCATTAGAAAAGTATTAGGATAACATAATACACCAATAGATACATAGCAATTACTGTGTTTTGTGTCAAAATACTGTTAATAAGGATAAAGTAAAAACTATTTTTCAAATGAATAATTGTTTGTTGTCGTTGATTGCTGTCAAGTCGAGCATGACTGATAGTGACCCTATGAAAAAAAGACCTGAAGCCTTTCTATAATAATTGTCATTTTTCAAAGTTCACAGAGTTTCCAGAGGCATGTGAGGAAGGAGATGCCACTCCTGCTTCCAAACCTGTCTATATAGAGATTATTCTCTATTGGTGAGTATATGATACCACCAGCCATTTCACACAAGCTAGACTTTCACTACTGATCAATTCAATGTGCTACTGCCATTATTTATGCATCAGCACTTTATAGATTAAAGAATATTATCTATATATCGAAGGCCAAACTGCCCGTGCATAACAATTATTATCTATTTATTCTTACAAATGTTCAGTTCTTTCAATGCTTTAAGCAGCTGATAAATTGACAGTAAAATTTATTTTTATAAAAAAATAATCAAAATGTTTATATACTTGTAAAATATTTTGTCCTAAAAATAATAGGCTGCAATAATGATACTATTGTGAAACATGTATCACAATGTAAAGAACAGTTGAAATAAAACATTGATTCAAAGATCTCTAATAGCTTTAGGTATGTGGATTTAAACTTTGTGGAAGTTACAAACTATTGCATAAAAAATCTAGGAGTTGTACCAAAAATCAACATGCTCTGAGATAAAATGTTGATGAAATAGGAACTTTTTAAGGTACAAGTAACAGGAATTATTAGTTACATCTTATTAAGTTAACAAGTACTGTTTGTGTGGACAGGAGACATTTTGGTCATAACACAAGACCAACTTTTAGTTATTAATATTTTTAAAATATTAACTATTTTATCATATTAGTCTGGATAATACAAATGAAAATTGTACTTTCTGCACCTTATAGCACTAATCAAAATAGCTTTTGAAATATATTCTCGTTAGCAATATTTCTATAATCTATGATTTTTTAAATGGTTTATGTAGAAGAACTTGGAGTATAATTTTTAAACTTTTTTTTCTAGTTTGCTTCCCAATTTCATTAGGAAAGAATATTTGCATTTATTTTCTTCCTATCATACCAAGAATTCAGTATTTTCCTCATTCATATTATGAAAGGAATATTACATTATTACTTTAACTCATAGGATAAAAATAGAGATCAAAATATTTATGTAAAAAAATTATGAAATAAATCTAGAAAAGAGTCACATAAACACCATCCCCAAGAATTCTTCTTTCCTTTTCATCAATCAATACCATGTTTTCCTAATTATTCATCAGAATTAAAGTTTTAGGATTTACTGTCACTTATATAGTGTAAGGTGGAAAAATGGCAAAGCCTTAATTTAAAAAATAACAATATGTACAAGCTTACATTATTTTATCAAAATTTTGTAAGTTTAATTTAAAATAAAATTTCTCCATACACACTAAAATTAATGTCTGAGGAAGTATATTATTTCAGACAGAACAAATTACCAAATTTTAAAGATATTATTGTGTAATAATTTTTCCTATCTCTTCATTACTCCCTAGACAAGATGGATAAAATCTTTCCAGGTGTACTTACAGCTTATATTCACTTCGTTATATATGTCAAAAAAATGAAATAGCATTTGTTAAATTTCCTTGCAATTTCTTCTTTACAGAAGGCTATATTGCTATGCCTAAACTGCATTCCACTGACTCATAAGGGAAATAAATTATTTCTCCATTACTGGTTGCTGAGAATCATTTAATGTACATACTATGACTTGAATGCCACATGGAAACTGTGCTATAGACAAACACCGAACTGTGTTTTTCTGTTTTTGTTTTTCCCAAAATATTTAATGCTCCCTGTGACCAGAGAGAAAGAGAAAATCCTGTGGCTGGAGAGCAGAACAAACATGATCTTAGATATTTTTTCTGAGAGATATCTTACTATTTCATCATCAAGGAGCCCTGAAAAACTCACTCTTACCAGGGGACACACACTCTAGTTCCTTGAGGACTTTCCCTTGGCAAAGGTCAGAATGATCTCCCTCTGGAATTAAAATAAGAGCAAAGGGACCTTGGGAAATACTAGCAATAACTCCACAGGAACTGCAGGAACAACATCCATAGATGACTTCATTGGTTGCAACTGTCCATATCATTTAACATAAATAAGTTTGCAGAATAATATTCTTCAGAGATGCAGCTAGATAATTGTACTATTTAATATCAAGTGAGACTGGATCATCGTCATTATAAAGCCTTTGCTTACAAAAATATTGAAACAAAAGCTACTGTCTTTTAGTTGAATCCGGCAAATGACAGCCCACTGTCAGGTTTCTGAGGCTATAAATCCTTACAGGAGGAGACTTTCTTTATCTCTGGGAATTTTGACAGTGGATTCCTAATACCAAACCCGAAGTTACCAGTCCAAAATGTAACCTATTTCATCACCAGCCAGAAGTATTCCTTTCTTTTTCTTTTGTTTTTCTTCAATAATAGTGCTATATGTACTAAATTAACACATATGTCTACACTTGATTGCTACCACTATATAAAAAGAATTGAACTAAGAAATCATTTACCGAGGACTTCCTCTCTACAGAAAGCAATGCTACACACTAGACAAGAAACCCAAGTTAAAATTAGTCGTTGTAATGTACCATCAAGTCACCTTCTATTCATGTGTTTGTTTTTGTTATAGGCTGTCGCATCATCTGTGACTCAAAGCAATCCTGTGTACAACAGCCCTGGATCCTGCCCTGTCCTGAGTCAGTCACACATTGACTTTGACACATATATCATGGTCCTAGTTACGATGTCAATCCACCTCATCCAAGGTTTTTCTCTCCTGCTCTGTCCTCCACCCTCCGGATGGCCATGTGCTCTAAGTATGCAAGATGAAGCTTCAAAATCCTTGCCTCTGAGGAAAAATTTGTTTGGTTTTACCCTTTCTAAGACAGACCTATTTCTTCTCCTGGCAGTCCATAGTATGTTCAATACTCTTCTCCACACCACAACTCAAAGACATTCATTCTTCTTTTAACATTCTTAGTCATTAACCAGCTTTCTGACACATAGCTAGTGATTGCAAAGACCATGGCTTGCATCAGATACAC